TTGAAGCCAAACCTCTTCAGACTTTTTTATGTTTTGCAGTTGTCCAGACCTTATTGAAACGTTGTTTTAAATGACCACTATTTTTTATTTGGAATTTATTCGAACATTTTATGTTAAAATGGGTAAGATTTAATAATTTTGAGGTTAATATTACTCGGTTAAAGTAAGAAAACCTTGAACCCCCTGTCGTAAAAGTATGGAAGCACTGTAACACGAATGAGATTGAGACCGATACATGTGCGCGACACATGATTAAAGGCCATTTTTTTAATTTTATTTTTATACAATGTATTAAAAACTTGAACAAGACCAGAACAGTTAATGTCTTCGTACAAGTAAAATGCTAAAGTATTGTTATATGTTTCTTAAATCTTCGTTATTGCAAATGAAACATTCTGGAGGAAACTGTATTCATTTTGTTCATGATAGTAAAATAATTGTCAGTCTAAAATACTATTTGAAAATTATTGTTTGTGCTGATAAACTTATTCAAGCTGAAAAATTGACAATAAAAAATTGAGATGAAAATGTTAATCTGCCTGCTAGTTTTTGTATTTCAGAAAGTTAACATAATTCTGGAAAATGACAGTTCCCTTAAAAGTTGTAATATCTACAAAATAGACGGTACATTAAGCAATTTCATTTCGACATAATTATAAACTAGATTATTTCTCATGACTACCCCGCCAATACCGACTAAGGCATTATTTAATTTTCACGGTCGAAAGTATTTGAATAGAATTAACTTTGATATTATATATTGCTTCATTCTGAAATGACTTGTACTGTATAATTCCTTTTTTATTTTTTTGTATTCTTCTATATTTGTCTACATTTGTATATACATGCAGTTTAAGGTTTATGATTCTTTCAATTTGTCTGCAATTATATAACTTGTATTATAAAATATGAGAATGTGGCTTTAATAGTTGTAGCATTTCATCATTGATTGTGAAGAAAGATAACTTCTTTTTATTCATGCAATGCACGCCAACAGAGTTGTCTTTCCTGATGAAGTAGAATTTGAGGATATTTCAAATATCTTCCTATAGTCCAGTTTATTTGAAAAATACAAGTAATACAAGTACTACAAGGCTGTTCACGGGAAAGCAAATGTTTAAATATCTTTCATTATTATCTAATGAAGCAAAACCTGTTCGGGCTTGTTGATGTGTTGCAGTTGATAACAGCTAATTAAGATTTTATTTTGAATAACCAATGTTTTTGTACTTGGATTTGTGCGCTCATTTTATGTTATAAATGTTAAAATTAAAAAAGATATTTTAATTATTCTTAACGGAAAATATTCTCGATTAAGAATACCTTTACATGACATATAAACTTTCCAAGTATATAAACAATATCATAAAGTAAAAGAAGCACTGAACAATACAATTCATAAAAGATAACGTACATGTGAACGACAGATGGTAATACGCCATGTTGCTACATTAATCAAATTTATTTCACGACAAAACTTAATCATATCTGCGTAAACATCTAGATAACATTGAACACGATAATGAAAGATTGTTGGAAATAACATCTGTTCATATCAACATTGACAAGAGGCGACAAAAAAGTAAATAATAGCTATCATTTTCTGTTCAAGATGTATTAAACATATCAAACAAAACAATGAAACTTTAAACAAATTATATTACAAATTATATTCGCTATAAAAAGTGAAGTAGGCGTGACTTTTAAAATCTAATACATTTCTTTCCTACTTATTTATCGAGATAACGTGTCTTAGTTTTGGTGTCCTGCTTGGCTAATTTTCTGATGGTCCAATGTTGCTGGGGGAGGGGATGCGTTTACTAATGCCCCCCCTTCCTTGTATATTTTGATTTAATTTTACAAAATCATATCAACTAAAATGCCCTTTCAACATGGTTACATGCATTAAGATTAGAATAAAATTTTTCACTACAAATTTTATTAAAAAATTTTAAAAAGGATATAAATTATTTTTTTCTCTTAGCTTGATTTTGATTTCTCTCCCTTTCATTTTTATTATATGTTATTATATTCTAAAAAGCTCTGTTATTTTACAAAAATTTCAATCAAAACACTGTCTATTTTTCTTTTACATATACGTATTTCATATATTCAAACTGTGTAGAGAAAAAAATTACAATACATCTAGAAACAAAAAAAATGATAATAATAATTTTTTAATAAAAAAAACCTTGTAAAATCAATTACTTTACTTTTTATGTTAAAGTGATATTAACTTGTAATGGAAAACAATAAACTTAACATTTTGCTAATAAAACATGAAATTTGAATTAACACAACATACACACGTACACAAACACGCACGCACACAAGAAAAAAAACAACAACAAGAGCAGAAGCTGTAACAGCAACAACGACAACAACAACAACTACACAAATACCCAGCAAGAAACAGACCAGCAAAGGAAGACACACGAATATAACCACTCTAAGATGTCATATATACACGGCAATCGGCAACGTGTCCCTTAGTGTTTCAGATATGAATAAAGACAAATGTATCATTTTATATATTGTTATAAAGTTTTGATAGGGCAAACTGTTTGATAGATTTTTAAGTGATTCAGTATGAACAATACTATGGTGGGTAGTAATATTCTGTTATAGAACTATTTTAGCTATATACAAAACATGAACAGAACATGAATTTTATATTTTAGACTTCAACATTTCGCTCCTCTTCACCCACAACATAATTATACTTTACTGTTTCAAAGTCAAACAATAAAATAATATATACAATATTGAAATGACAGTTTTAAATGTTTTATGACAAAAGAAGGAATATAATGTTGATCAGTATCGTTTTAACTTGAAGATAAGTTCTTGACGTGCATGCCAATAAATTAACATGATTTATTTAACATTTATTGCAAACGATTATGCCTAATCTTTAAAGCACAGTGAACATGTAGAACATATCTTCATTAATGGAGTAAGATTAAACATAGATGATTTGCTAAATAATTTTTTATCAAGGTAACGTTTACTTGTAAGTCGGTAGCAGGAAAACACAAATATCATATAGATCTCATCAACTCTCTATGTCTGAGTAAATTTGAATAATTGCTTTTCGTAGGATAGGAAAGCCAGACGCTCTTTTATTTGGTTTAACTTTTGGTCATCTGAGCATATATTGTGTAATTGAGCATCTATTACGTAAGTGTAACACAAACACTTGAATAAAAATCCTGTGTATGCATCACGGTTTATTTTGTAAAGTGAAACATTAAAGATTGCATTTTTTTCGTTTTCCTCTTATTCAGTAAGTTAAGAAAAAAATATCATAAAGGGTGAATATCCAGTTGATACAAGCTTCTACGAAAAAAGGGAACAAATAACCATATTTGATTTATCATCATACTAGTTAATGTAACGTGCTATAAAATATACGACTTTTGTCTGTAAAAAATCCCTGGCCTAGTAAATTTGAATAATTGCTTTTTTGTCGGATATGAAAACCAGACGCATTTTTATTTGGTGTAATTTATTGGTCATCAGGGCATACATAAGATAAGATAAGTTTTATTTCAAGTCCGCATGTTTACAACAGTACAACATAAGCTCTAAAAGCTTTTATAACCGACTGTATATAACATAAAGTATAAGATGAACAAACAAAACTGCTGCAATAAAATTGATTAGGCATGATGTATGCATAAAATAGTCCTTTTTAAATATCTTTATAAAAATGAATCAGATGCAAACAATACTAAAATGATTGTTTACTTAATTCTACATCGCTAGCTTGTATATCAAGTCAATTACTTAAAACATTTTACTTACAGTTCAATAATATACCAATTAAACAATTAAAAATATAATTAATAGTTAAATAAATAAATAAATAAATAAATAATAATACTAAAAAAACAACAACAGTTTTTAGCTAATTTAAATATGAAAGACTATGGGTTATCAAACAAATACGCAAAAACAGAGGGGATCATACATTTAAGTCAACAGTTGAAGTCATGCTGGGAAGATAAGCAAAAACAAAAAAATCACAAATAAAGCAACATTCTATCTAGAAACTAAATGATAATATTAAACAAGCTGGAATCATGCAGGGAAGAAAAGCAAAAACACATTTAAAGCAAAAATGTACACAGAAGCTAAATAATAATAATAATAGTAATAAATGAGACAAAATGTTCATACCCAGAAAAATAAACAAAGGGTAAATTGGCAATCTATTACAGTCTGAAATATTTGAATAAAACTTTGTGTATTCTTCACGATATATCCTGTACAAATAATTTTTTGATGTTAGAAGTACACTCTTCGAGTTTGATACTGCTTTAATTTAGAATTAATTCCGTTTAAGTCAATGTAATTGTCAGGGGTAAAGGTAACGTTTTCCTTTTTTTTCATACAATGATTTCATGTATTTTTTTTTAATGATGAAAGGGATGTAATACCACACACAAATTAAATTTGTTGAAAGTAACCAGAATTATACATGACACACACATATTCAGGAATAACATAATTATGTTTGTTGTTAGTAAGTCTGAAATACATGATCAGATTAAAAGTATTAACAATGTCAGGTAATAAATTGTTCTAAAAACAAATGTCATCATGCATCATATATGGGTTATCACTTTGAACACTTTCAATAAAGAGTTTGTAAGTTGAAACATTTATGAAATCAAATGATACATTTCTTTTGCTTTTATCAATATTTTAAATAATTAGAAATGTACCTATTCTAAACCAATCTACTTTTAAGTAGTAACTGTGCTTTAATTATTTAAATAAAAGCATAAATCTGTTAATTGTCTTTCATTTCATATATATATATGTATTCTTAGGTAAATACTTGTTCAAAATGACTGTTTTGCATACTCTGACAGGTGATATTGTTTATTGTATTGTCATAACCTTTTACATATACGACCAATTAGATTCTATCCAGCTGATACTAATAAAAAATATCTCGATAACAAGTAGATCATCTAAAGTCAGTATGATCATATATCGACTTTGAAAGTGTTTGATATCTATATTTTTTCATACAGTACCAAGGCAAAAGGACATTCAACATGAGCCTACAAATCATTGTTATTGTGCTTTTTTGTGTTGGTGCAAGCTTGGGAGAAAATACTCACTTCTGTGAGAATTCACAGAGCCTCAGTGATGTAAAAATGCCAGGTTATACGTTGACACAGGAGGATTTTGATAATTATGTAAGTTTATTTTGTTCTTTTTAGAAAATACTGTATCCGACAAACGCAATTCGAACAAAACTTAAAACAAAATATATCAACGTTATAAAACTAAAGTTTAACACATACTTTGAATTAAACTTTGTGTAAATATATATTTATGAAGCACACAAGTGAATGCACTATAAAACACAATTAAAGATATACTATGCTCATCTTTGAGTAAAATATATTAATCTCAGAAACGTGTTTAAATCTATATAATTTTTACTGACTATGTCTAATTTGAATAAAAGAATGTACAGTATTTTGTATTGGAAGCTGCGTTCCCTATTACAGGTCAAGTAAAGTTGGTCTTTTCTTAATAAATGAAATACAAGTTGCTTTTAATGACACTATATATTCATACTGTTAGTTTTAAACATAACATACCTACTTAGCGTGAAGTTAAAACACGTTGATTTTATATTAACAAAAAACTGTGTAGCAATAATCAAGATTTTCTAATATAAAATTTGAGCATAGTATGTCTTTAATACATTATGCACAGCTGTTTGATTTGAAACATTTACTTCATGTATAAGAAAATATGTTTACATTTGTAACACAGGCAATTACAATAATTGTTAAATATTGAGTCTCTCGTGCAACTATTAAACTAAAATGAGATCGATAATTTTGTTATTAAAAAAAAACAAACACAAAAAAAGAAGAAACAACTAAGCAATGCACTTTCTAAATTTAATTTTTAATGACTGTTTACGGAGAAAGTTTTGATATTCCAGCTCAATTCATAATATTTATTCTAACTAATTATGTAAATCAAAAGATTACAATACCATACTATTTAAGGAATGACCACCCTAAAGGGCACTATAAGTAAATGACAACTTGACAACAAGGGTCAGATATATGCCTTGAAGGATACCTGTATGCAACAATTAAACACACTTCGTATGTGAGATGTTAGTATAAAGCCAATGCAATGAACTCTGGAGGGTCCCTAGAATTCAAAAAATGTCACTATCTCCACTGGCACCAAAATGCCTGAAAGTCTGCGAATGTCCAATAATATTAAGCAGACCAAAGAAATCGACTCTAAATGGTTCATTATAGTCAAACATGTCATTATCTTCATTGGCACCAATAATTCCTAAAAGTCTGCGAATGTCCAAGAATCAGTCGCAAATCCAGAAAATGAAGAATGGATGGTAAAAACCATTAAAAGTTCATGAAAGTCAATGAAATGGACTTCTGATGGTTACTTCAACCCAAAATAGGTTAAAAAACTATTGACACCGAAATTCTTGGAAGTCTACGAGGATGTCAGAAACAGAGCAGACAAGTGAAATAGACCAAGGCCAAAAAAACACAACATTTTCCGAGGCATTAGAAAGAGAATGCATAAGTAGTGAAAGCTGAAACATATTTACTCTATATTCAGAAATGTCCCGCTATATTGCTTTCCAGCTGAGCATTCCTGCTGGGCATTCCAACAGAGCATTTTTGTAAAATATTTAGGAATGCCCCACTAGATTGCTCTGCCACCTAGACATTTAAACAAAATATACATTACACTTTATTTCAGAATATTCCGCTTGATTGCTCTACCAGTTAAGCATTACAGCTATGCATTTTAACACTATATTTTAAAATGCTATACTAGATTGTTTGCTTGCAGAACAATGCAAAAGACCATTTCATGCATATATTTTAGAATGCCCCGCTGATGAGATAGCCAGCTGATCATTCCAGCCGGCAGAGCAAATTAATATTACATATTGGAATGATCTGCAATATTGCTCTGCCAGCTAAACATTCCAGCAAAGCAAAATTTTACTCTTTATTTAAGAACGCCCTGCCAGATTATCTAGTAAGCTGATCATTCCAGCAGAGCATATTATACTATATTTAGGAAAGCTACGCTAGATTGCGTAGCCAGCTGACCATTCCAGCAGAGCATGCTTCCTGTGAACGTGGCCTTACTTTGTTGATCTTTATTCTTGTTTTTTTTACACTATAAGTCAGGATTCTTTTATTATATAGCTCTGTCAGCTGCGCATTGTAGCAGAGCAATGTTTTGCACTATATTAAAGAATGCCTCGCTCGACTGCCTAGCTAGCTGAGCATTTCAGCATGCCATTGTTGCACTGTCTTGGGATGGCTCGCTATATTGCTATGCAAGCTGAACATTCTTACAGAGTATTTTTTTACATTATATTTAGGAATGCTCAACTAAATTGCGATGCAGAGCATCCCTTGAAGGTTTTTTAGAAATGCATTTTAGATTGCCTAGCCAGCTTAGCATTTTTACACTTTATTTGGGAATGCCCCGCTATATTGCTCTGCCAGCTCGGCAATCCAGTAGAACATTATTTACATTATAAATTTAAGAATTCTTCGCTTGATTGCTCTGCTAGCCTATCATTGCAGCAGAGCATTCATTTACTATATTTCAGAATGCCCCGCTATATTGCTTAGCCAGCTGAGCATTCCAGCAGAGCATTTCTACACTATATTTAGGGATGCCCTGCTAGAATTTCAAGCCAGCTAAGCATTCCAATAGAGCATCTTTTGCTCAATATTTAGGAATGCCTAGTTTGCTGTGTCAGCTCGGCATTTCAGCTGAACATTTATTACCACTATATTTAAGAATGCCACGCTAGATTATTCTGCCAGTTTGCCATTTCAGCAGAGCATTTCTACATTATGTTTAAGAATGCCCCGCTTAATGGTTAGCCAGCTAAGCATTCCAGCAGAACATTTTACATTATATTTAGGAATGCCTTGCTAGATTGCCAAGCCATCTGAATATTTCAGCAAAACATTTTTTACACTATGATTTGAAATACCCAGCTAAACTTCCCAACAGAGCATTTTTACTCTATATTCAGGAATGCTCCGCCAGATTGCTAAGCTAGCTGAGCATCCCAGCAAAACATTGATATCCCGATGTAAATTGAAATTCTATTTTACTTAGCTCACTGCTTACTGCTAACTTCTCACATACACAAACTTTACCGTGCGGTTAACAAGTTGTTATAGCCACTTTTCTGTATTTAAGCTTCATTTGAAAGGGACTCTTTTTCAGAAATGATGAACCTTTAAATATAATATCATGCTGGTGAGAAATGTTTTAATTATTCTTAATAAACAACTAGTAACCGTCAGCTAACAATTCACAAAATTCTATGTTTACAAATGTTAAGCTACCCAACCAATTTTTAACACGTGTATGACCATCTTGCTACTAAGAAACCTTAATCAAAAAATCTCTAAAATTAACCAAATTGAGAGGTTGTTTTCAAAGTTTATCTAAAAGTTTTCATAAGACTTAGTATATTTATTAATCTGGTTAAATATTATATACTTTTACCACGTAGTTTTGGTTTTATTAGACTAAGAAAATATCAGGTACCATAATTGATGCTCGAGAAGTTGGCAGCCTAGCAACCTGAAGTTGGCAGTCTAGAAGCCCTTAAAGAAAACTAAGAATAGTACAAACATTAAAACAGTCGGAAATACACCAGAAGCACCTCTTTAGATCATTCCACGCCTTTTTCAATATCGTGATCTTTATATTTTAAGATGTTGAACTTTATCTTAACATAATTTTTTCATTCTGACGCTTCGAAATTTGTTAGCAGCCTGGCAGGATAGTACAAACATGAAAACCATCGGAAATGAATCGGTAGCACATACCTAGACCTTTCCACGTCTGATTTCAGTATCGCGAACTTTTTTTTAAATATTGAACTTTTTTTTTAATTTTGACACTTCGAAATTTGTGAAGTTAGCAGCCTAACAGCCTGACAGCCTAGCAGCCTAGCAGCCTGACATCCCTGCTACCTAAAGAAAACTAAGGATAATACAAACATGAAAACTGTCGGAAATGAATCGGTAGCACATACTTAGACCATTCCGCGTCTTTTTTCAGTATCGCGATCTTTATTTTCTTAAATATTGAACTTTTTTTTTTTTTTTTGACACTTCGAAATTTGTGAAGTTAGCAGTCTAGCAGCCTAACAGCCTGGCAGCCTAGCAGCCTATCAGCCTAAAGAAAACTAAGGATAATACAAACAAAACCGTCGGAAATGAATCGAAAGCACATATTTAGTCCATTCCACGTCTTATTTCAGTATCGCGATTTTTTTTTTAATATTGAACTTAAATATCTAAGCTCTAGCTGTAAGAAGATTTTTACAAGTTTTTACAATACACATATAGGGAAAAACAATGACCTCCCCCCTTCTGGACGGGGGCCGATTTTGTCCCCAAACTTGGTAGTCACTCACTAAAGATAGTTCATGCTTAATATCTAAACTCTAGCTCTTTGTTTTTTTTTAAAAGAAGATTTTTAAAGTTTTTACTATATACATATAAGGAAAATCAATGATCCCTGGGGGGGGCCAATTTTAACCCCCAGGGCCCTTATTTGAACAATAAATGGTAGACACCCAATAGATGATGTTTCATGCTAAATAGCTTAGCTCTAGCTCTAAGTGCTTTTTTTAAAAGAAGATTTTTTAATTATTTACTATATACATAAAGGGCTGCTAGGCTGCTTACTTCACAAATTTTGAAGCGTCAAAAAAGACAACAAAAAAAAACAACAACAACAACAACAACAAAACAAAGTTCAATATTTACAAAATAAAGATCGCGATACTGAAATCAAAGCACTGAATGTACTGATGGGGAGGCTATGTTTCTTTTCTTTTTGCTTAAAATGTGCTGTAATTTCAATTATTACCAAAATAAGATCTGTCAATTGCACCAATTATCCTTACTGTTGTGTTCATTCATTCATATATATGGTTAATATGGTGGACTATTCATTTTGTTAATATTCCAGTACTTTTCATTGAGGTCTACATTCGGACTGTTAATCATGCACATTTTGAAGAAACTAAACTGCCAATAAAAAATGACATACCAGCAGGTATGACGACTGTCCATTATAAGATTACAACGGACGTTTCCTTATCACAATATTCTAGGACTGTTCATCATAAATACTTTATGTCATTTTAATATCATTGAATGATTATAACAACTGCAAGTTATGCGACATTTTTATTAAACATAACAATTATACATGTTTACATGTACCATAACTGAGATCAATAAAGATACTGTCTTGTAGGATGAGTATTAATATTCATGCTCTACGAACAGAAAGCTTTTCTGCAGTAATTGTTCAAGTGTTGTAAAATGAATACGAAATTCCTCTTATGCCGCCGATAATTTTTAGAACACAAACATATATTAAGTTTTTTTTATTTTATTTACTCAAATTAACATTAATCACTTCAGCGGGCGCAAATATCGTTTTCAAATTAAAGTTTTCGTAAAATATGTTGATGAATTCCCGATGCTCGACTGTAAGTCATTCGTATATACATGAGTTTTACCTTCTTTTTTTTTAATCTTCTTATTCTTTAATATTTTTTATGTATCTGTATTGATAATTTGAATTTTATTACACATGAACTATCAAATTATGATGCGTTGTCCTAGAATTGAATACACGTTCTAATTACAGAATACGGGGTCATTCATTTGATTAAAGACTGATCCTTGCGTCTTCCTCTGAAATAATTATTTCCTTGTTAAAACATATTTGGCCACATATTTCTGTCATTTAACTGTTCACTATACTTCCGATTTTTGTTGTACCGAAACACATGTTTTTATTTGTCTTTTCTAATCAATTCGAATCTATATTCAGTTTAATGAGATCACCACCGGGTAAACGACTACTAGGGTCTTTGGTCATGTTTATTACCCAAAATATTTGAATGTTTCTATTGGGATAAAACTGAGCGTAGTTAACTAAACAAGTGATTATATAGATCCCTGACCTGTCTAATTCTATTTATGAGATAAGTGGATACACCACAACATAATTATTCATAAACAAAAAATTCCTAAATTTATTCTTATTCAAATAAAAGATCAGAGTAGGGATCTATCAATTGCCAGACATATTTTTAAAAGATACTTTCATGTTAAAAGTTTGATTGATGAATAATGTGAGATGAAAATATAAGTATTGTTTTTTTTTTATTTTGCCAATGTAAAATGTATTCTTGTGCTAAAATTTTGTCGGAGGGTCCTTAAGGGTTTTGTAGTTAAATAATGTTTTTTTTCGGCGATAATGGATCAAGAATATAATGTTTTCAAACTATCTGTTCATCAATGTCAGTGAATTTTTAGTTAGTTAAATGTATGCAAAATATTTACTAACAGCTATATGATATAGCGGTTTATGAGCGTTTTCCGCGTACAGCCTCCTAGGGTGTACTAATAAGTTAGTTTTCCTTAGTTATTACGCAAGCATGATCCATGTCTCTGATGTAAAGGACAGTTTACCATTATTTGTCCTTTTTTTAAATTTTAAGGACCATTAATGGTTTATAACAACAAAAGAACATGCATGATATTGAGTATACGGTGTTGCAACGTTCTAGCATAACCAGTTGGTTTGAAAATTGTTTTCAAAAATAAAAACAATATTTTGCCAAATAATTAAAACATTTATTCAGTACTTTACAATAATGTGTTTGGTTTTTATTTTTCCCAATATAGTAGTTAAAAGTATAAGGGTTAAAATATCAGAACTATTTATGACCGATGTAAATGATTGATTTACCGCCGCAGTAAAATCACTACTCACATTTTGTAAAAGTAAGAAAACGTTTATCTGAGAATTATGAACTTTACAAACAGAAAGTATGATGAAAAACTTGTTTTAACTTGTAAATAACGGTGATAAGTGATGGGTCAGCTTTAAAATATCACGGTGCTATTTTTTTGACCTGATTACCGCTGCAGTAAGATTTGAGGAACGGTCTTAACATTGGGGAGGCTATGGAATGGTCTAAGTATGTGCTACCGATTCATATCCGACGGTTTTCATGTTTGTACTATCCTGCTAGGCTGCTAACTTTACAAATTTCGAAGCGTCAGAATGAAAAAAATATGTTAAGATAAAGTTCAACATCTTAAAAAATAAAGATCACGATATTGAAAAAGGCGTGGAATGATCTAAAGAAGTGCTATAATGTAATTCATACTGTTTTCATGTTTGTACTATTCTTAGTTTTCTTTAGGCTGCTAGGCTGCCAGGCTGTTAGGCTGCCAACTTCAGGCTGCTAGGCTGCCAACTTCAGGCTACTAGGCTGCCAACTTCACGAACATACCATAATTGCTATAAATAGGCAATAACTGCCTACATAAATTTTAAAATTAAAATTAAATAAACACTTTTTTATTGCTAAATGGGATATAAGAGATACATAAACAACGTTTCAATAAGAAAAATAAAAAAAGACCCTTTTGGAGTTTGGACCTACGGCCCTAAGTTTCAATTCAATTAATAGTAATTTAAGCCTTTTTGAATATTCTTCAAAGCGGAGGTAATTCATTAGGATGGTCATACCTTAAATTAGAATAAGATCATACTTATCGGAGTTAAGAAAACGTTTCATACTTTTATATTGTCGTACTAGGTCGTAGGTGCAACTCTAAGACAGGCTTATATTTTGCTTCCCGACCCAGCACCTTTTACAGTTAGTTCAAATTTCATCTGTGTGTTTACCAAGACCGATGCTACAACCTACCAACGAGTTTGCGCTGGACTGTAAGTTTAAACTATGAAACATTATTGAAATATTTATTCGTTTTAGGGCATTTTGCGTCCGTTTAATATCAATATCGTGTCAACATGAGTAATCCGGATTTCTCGAGAAAACTTATTTTAGCCATGCAATCAAACCGTTCTTTACAGATAGGCATTAGACGAAGTTTCAAAATATTGTTGTCCATGAAAGTAAAACAAATTGTTGATTTTCGTTAGAAAAAAATGAAGTAATGTGAAACAAATAAACTGGAAATAAAACACTCAGTTTTAAAGGCACATTATGCCTCAAAAATCCATATCTTTTTAATTCTTTAGAAATGTCAAATAATGTTTTAATGATAGATTAAGAGCATATTAGATGTTTTGAATCTGAAAATGTAGCTCTGAACATAACGTTATGTGTCTTTAAGGTAACAAAATGTAAACAAAGTAGTATTTTGACTTCAATACAAAATACTTATTCAGTATAAATACACAAATTGCCAACAGAGCTAAAGATGCAAAAGATAGTTTATATATGTAGCAAATGAACAGAATCCCTAAAGAAAGCCCAACACGACAATCATGAAAATGTTGCAGGCTTGGTTTTATTGAGCCTGTTCATGGACGGTATTGGAAAGTGCAAGTTCCCATCCACGCACCCTAGCACCGGCTTAAGCAGAATTCAACATTTAACACGAAAATGGCGAAATTTTGAATTAAGAAAATCCGCAGATGTGTTCATACGGCGGTAACCGTAGAACCTTCAATGTGACACAGTAGTGTCATTCCATGAAAAGGGGCGTATGGTCCCCAAGTAAAAGAATGCCTTTGCCCTAAACGAGAAAACAATGGGCGGAACTAAATAAAATGGAATTTTGAAAGGGGATCTGAAGTTATGAAGCCTGCATATCACAGATAAGACGTCAATAGACAAATTTAAAAAGCAGGCAACATATCCTAAGGGTGATGATACAGTATTCAAGTAGGAATACTGGAACCATCCAAATTGAAAATGGCCAAATAGATGAAACTAAAAGTACCACATAACATGTATACACAACAATAATGTCGTGCTGAACGATCTTCAAGGATCGAAAATATATAGTTTAGTTTTGAAAATTGTAACAAGATACAAAACATAAACAGTTTTTGAGATATACAAATGATAACATTTCTGAGGTAAAATGGGCCTTTAATTGGCCAGATTGTTTTGCCGGTTTACCTGCGGCTGTATGGACAAAAATCGTGAGAATTGCCTTCTCTGTATTGGTTTTCCAGCGGTAAAAACTAGAAACCGCATCGCTTTCAAAAATGTGAAAGCTCGCCGATGATTGGCTATCACGAGAAGGTGACAACCTATTGGTTGTCGTCAGATCCTAATGCGAAGCGTTAATAAGAAGCTGATTTTAATCAGATTGGGACTGTATCTAAATTTTGTAAAGAATCTTAAATAATCAAGCTCGAAAGCTGTCATATGACCTTGCAGATGTTGAAGATGGTATAATTTCTTATATATCATTGCTATTTTGCAGACCTACCTGTACTAAATATAACTTAACTCACACCATAGCAACGCAGGGAAACATGGTCTCTTTCCCGTACACAGATCCAAATAGTAAGTTACTAGATGTTATAAAAATATCCATGAACTTTTACGATAAATGTTGATGTTAGTTAGTTGTATAATAAATCCATCTTTCTTTCATGCTCACGGATGTTATTTGATAGTAACCTTCAATTAAATAGATCGTATGTTGATTTTTCCTAAAATTGAATGTAAAAGAAATACAACAAACTTTGTATTTAGAACATTTTCTGTATAATTGAATATGGTTATAATGCACTATGATAACATGGATTTTGTTTAACAGATAATGTAGTTAATGAGTACTACTGGTCCCCATGTCCGAGTCATTTCATTCTGAAGAGTCAATGTCCAAGTGACAGTATTCTACCGAACAACAAATGTGCACTGTCGGGCGCCCGGATAAGTATGTAATTTCGTTTACAACATAACATTTTATGATACGACGAAATAACATTTTTGTTTATACTATCTTTTATCTCAATCAAATTGTAAAATGTATTCTTTTGAATAAAATGTTTATGATAATTCTCCGTCGCTGGCACATTTAAAATTGATACCTATCTTTGACTGATGTTATAATATCATGGTTATTTTGATATCATTGCAGCCGTGTATTTGGTTGGAGATGTTAATCTAAGTAATGCTCCGTGGAATGATATTTCCAAAGAAATATTCACTGCAACCGGGGTCAAGTTTGGAGAGATAGATGGAATGAATTGGTTTTATTCAACAAGTACCGGAAGTGAGTGCATATCACTTTTACAACATCAAAATTCAGTTCACAAAATAAATTGTTTTGCTACCCTTAAACATTTCAAAACGATTACTTTAAACAATTTTATATAAGTTCAATATGATATAATCAGCAAAAAGAGACAAAAAAGATTATACCGAAATTTTTCATCTAGCATTTAAAGATCCTGTCACTCAAATCTTTTATGGTTTTATATCATAAATATAATGCTCAAATGAAGATTTATCAATATTGTAAGTTAAAAAAAACAACACATTTTTTGTAAAGATATTATCGAATTAACATAACATGTTAATAAAGGGAGGTAATTAGAATTTTTTTTTTTGTAAAGTCTAAGTCATTTTTTTTTCAAAAAGAAATTAATGCATATATTTTAATGATTACATATAATGTTGACAAATATTTGCAGTACATACTTACATATTCTTCGATGTTAAAAAACTGATTAAGAAGCATAATTATATACATCAGGTTCCATTTGAAAGACCCTGTATACATATATAAAATTTCACTTAAGTGTGGTAACAACCTTACAACATACAGTATCTTTAAAACATATTATAAGCTATGACATAATATTTTCCATTATTGTTCACTTTGTAAGTCTGAATACACATGTCAATGTATTTTGAGACTTTTATTTGAATCATTTCAGATCCGTGTGATGTTTAAAGTAGACAGAAATTGATGAAACCGGAACATATTGTACATCCATGCAATATTGAATTAATTGAATTATTAACAATAAATAGCAGCCGCATTAAAATGACTTCTTTAATGCTTTGTGCGTTTTTTCCCTGCCCCCTGTTGCATGTCTGGCCTAAACTATTTCCATTAGACAATGAGTCTTTCGAAACACCCTGACCCCTACCATCAATGTTAAGATCACTTTTACCGGTCGAAGGTGAACATTGCCTGTGTTTTCATTGTGCAGAGAAGAATTCCGAGAGAGATTCCGGAGGGCCCTGCTAAAAAATCAAAAGTCATCTTATAATAAATAATTTTCCCACATGTACTTGTTTTCAGTTAAAACTGCAAAAATGTATTTCTTCTGACATATACACATAATTAATTTCATATTATTTCTATAACGTGTGCAAATATAGATTTTGCACTGAACGTCCAGATCCTTCCCTCAAACTTTTGAAATTTTGCGCTTGTAGGAGGTGCACTTTGATATCAACTCTTGGGGTTTTGTTGTAGAATAATGCACAGTTCAAGTTCGATGTCTATCGAATATAATCAGCCTAGGTGAAAAAGCAATTGAACAATAAACCGGGCATTATCATTATTGTACTACATGTATAATGCAAGCAAGCAAATATAAACTATTTCCATTCTAACATGCTGATTAAAAATATTAATTCATTCGTACATGATAACAAAAAGGAGAATTGATAAAAATATGTTGAACTATATTGAATTGATTTATTGACGTCAAGTAAAAATAAATCAAACTAGACTGCATGCGTACAAAAAGGTTTTCCTTAAAGTATTCTGGAGTCTGTTTGAATTGCATATAATTAATATAATAATGTAAAACTGTTCTCGTCTTATTATGGTGATCACCTGTGCCTTCTATTATGAAATGAAGACTTTTAACATTTGACCTTTAAGTGTGACCTTGACCTTGAAGGTAGCAACCCAATTTTTGTGCTCAGCACATTGTCTCATTATGGTGATCACTTGGGCCAAGTTATTTCAAAATGTTTTCAGCGGTTGAAAAGTTATGGAGCGGACACGGAAGTGTTACGGACGGACGTGTCAACATTTGGGGTTTTTGTGCTTTTTCTTTGATCTTTATGTGGCTTTTTGCCCCATCAACCAGTAAAAATTACCACTTAAACCGGTCGGTTTATGAAATTTCTTCCTTATGTAAACTAGAATCATGGACGGAATGAAGCTCATAGACCATTGAATGCTCGCCCGGACAGTGTTGTTATGATTATTACGACGCTATTTATAGACTATTAACTTTATGCTTTAACATGATCAAACCCAAAGGGGTATGGGCTACGTATTTTTTCACAACAAAAAAGACCTGATCCTGTCCGGTATATAATTTTTAGAGGATCTAAATATAGAACAGAACAGAACTTTTATTTCTGATTAAATAGCAAAATTTGGTGATTGTCAGTTGAAACCTAAAACATATTTATCAAATTTTATCTGTAGTTTATCTTTCGGTTTATATATACCTCTGAACCGTATAATAATATTGGAGCTACCAGTCTTTCAAATAAGCCCTGATTTCCCGATTGGAAATAAGATCCGCATGTAGATCAATAAAGGTAAATGTATGTTCAACATAGACTGCAAGCGTTCCATTTTTCATGTATATATGTACATCTATATATTTGTGAATCTTTATTATTGATGATATTTTTATTTATTAGTATTGCTATTTCGATGAGAAAAAATGGTGACAAATCGTAAATATAATGATAATTTTTAAAGATTCATATATCACATTAAAGTGAAATATTTAAGATCGCATTTTTTTATTCTCCTCTTTTTAAGTAAGCGAAGAAAAATTATCATGAAGGATGAACATCCAGTTGATACAAGCTTCTACAAAAAAGCAGCAAATAAAATCTTTTCTTATATATCCATACAAGTTAATGTAACGTGCTATGAAATATACGACTATTTTTGTCTGTGATAATGCCCTGACCTAATAAATTTACATAATTGCTTTTCGTCGGACATAAAAACCAGACGCTTTTTATTTGGTGTAATTTATTGGTCATCAGTGCATGCATAGAGTAAATTGACAATCTAATACTGTCTGTAATATTTGAATAAAACATTGTGTATTCTTTACGATATATTCTACACCAAAATTGTGTTGATGTTAGAGGTACACTCTTCGAGTTTGATACTAATTTAATTAAGAGTTAATTCCGTTTAAGTAAATGGAATTATCAGGGGTAAGAGTTTTTTCCCATTATTGTCATATGTGCTTTAAAAATCAATTACTTTATCTGATTTTGTTGAATCCCTAGCCTAGAAGACATAGGTATATATACTCAATGCACGACATATGCTTTTATTTGCGTTAGTCGTTAAGTATGTAATATTTACATAAATAAAGAAATATTACATACCTAACGATTAACGCAAATAAAAGCATATGTCGTGCCTTGAGGGTACCTATGTGTAAAAAAATGAGAGGGTACCTGTGATATAAAAAATCAAATGAAGAGAGGTAGCCCGTGCCGCTGCAAAACTGAAAGCACCCCTGGTCGCCGATTTGTTTTTGTACTGCTATGAAAGAGACTTTATGTTGAGTCTCTCTGAAGAGAAACAACAAGATGTTATAGTCGCATTTAATAATACTTCCAGATACCTTGATGATATTTTTAATTTAGATAATCCTTATTTTGATCAAATGGTGTCTTACATTTATCCACATGAACTACAACTTAATAAAACGAACTCTTGAAATTTTAGTACATCATTTTTGGATCTTCATATTACTATCAACAACAATTCTATTCACACAAAAATTTATGATAAAAGAGATGACTTTAACTTTTGTATAGTTAATTATCCACATTTGGATGGAGACGTACCCCATGCAACATCCTACGGGGTTTATGTTTCTCAGTTAATTAGATTCGCTAGAGCTTGTAACAACGTAAAGGATTTCAACGAGCGGAATATTTTTATTACCAGCAAGCTTCTAAAACAGGGCTAACGCTATCATAAATTACGGAAATATTTTACTAAATTTTACAATCGTAACTTTGATTTAATTTCTAAATTCAATAGTGATTTAAAAACTCTTCTGCGACAAGGGATTAGCCAGCCTGGTTTTTATGGCGATGTGGTTTACAAACTTCGTAAGATTTTGGGTCATGGTAATTTTTCTGCTGTTTTTACTAAAATCATTAAACGTTTTATTAAAAGAGGTTATGACCCTACTATTTTAAGACATACTGCATGTTTAGTGTTCAACCCGTTTACAGTTGGACACTACGCTTTCCTCTTTTGATTGCATCTGACGGACCAAGTGGGAGACTCTATGATGGATAGTTCGTAAAGCCCTTTGGGACTGAATTGTCTTAATGTTCGTCTTCTGCCTTGCTTCGTCGGGCCCTTGTAGGTGATTTTCTTGTTGCTCTGTCTTCCTTTAGGACATTGAGTACTTTTGTTATGGTCATTGGGTTTACTTTTATATGTTTCTACATGATCATTTTAGTGTTTTACTTATTTAACCTTTTGTAACCATGACAACTGTTAGAATTTCACTTGGCGGGGATTCATTTTATTTACACTGTCTCGTTTATAGGAACATGGTGGGGCTAAGAGCGAGGTTTGGTGCACCATTAACCGGTTTAAACTCCCCAGCAGTCATTATTATGCTGCTGACCGTTCCAAGGCGGCGCCCCACTGTGTTCCTCAGATGTTTGTCTATGTTGTTTCATACTGTTTTGGTGACACTTGCTTGTGTCCCTTGTTGTTTTCTCGTCTACGGTAAGTATCTTCCCCATTGCCTCTAGTTTTTATTTCTTTGATTAACCCCCCCCCCCCCCTTCCCCGGTCTTCTGTCCCCTTCCCCTTTGTGGGCCTATTATTATTTTCTTTGAATTCCTAATCAGTTACAAATTATTTATAATTTAATGATTAACGTGTCGTTGCCCTGTCCTTTTTATGTTTGGGGTCCGCCTGGGCTCCTTGCCGTTGGTTCTTGTTGCTGGGTCATATGGGGGTTGCGTTCATTGAACGCCGCCTTTCCTTGTTGATCTTGTTTTTCATATTGTAGTACATGAAAAACGGGAACATGACAAATCAGCACATAGATAAAACATTCTAGTGTTCCGTGGAATACATCTTTTCTACATGTCATACCTTCTTTCCTTGTTATATTGACTTTTTACTGTATTGTTATCCATCGCTGGTTTGTTTTTAGCAGAGAGTGGCCTGTGCATGTACAAAGAGGGTACCGTTTCAGCAGATTACGCAAAGAGGGTACCGATATGGATATGCACCGTGAATCAATAACGCTGTCTGCACTGAAAAACATATCTTATTATCAAGTTATATTTGAAAAAGAATAATATAAAATTTTAAATTTCAATAACTTTTAACTGAAAAAAAAACTGTTTTAGGATGTGGGTTGTTGTTATACTGTTGCCTTACAGTGCCAAGAAAAGAATCACTTGTGCATGTGACAGATAGAGAGAGGGTATTGTTACTGTAACAAATCAAAAGCGTGTCAATGGTTGCATTTTCCTGACTTTCCGCGTACATAATACATACTATTTTTTGCAATAAAACGTGTCTATCAAATATGAAACCCTTTATTCAAATTGAGAGTATCTTGATTTTACAAACAAAAACCTAAATTAGTAAAATTGGTAAATATTTGTGATTATAACCAACAGTATTTATTTTTAGCTTATTTCCAAATTAAAATTTTAGAAAAACTTAATTACAAGCAGAACTCACAAGGAAAGAAACGGTTATGTACTAAATTGGCTCCCTGCGTTGTAAGACTGAAATGGTATGTCTCTCTCTATATTTCTGCTAAAGGGATAGATGATATGATTCAAGAAGCCGAAAGTCGGTGTTCGACCAATCCATATTAGAACAATAGGAGTTTTGACGGTCATCAAAATTGGAAATTCGTTTCATCGCCCAATGAACACATTTGTGTTCGTTGTCGGATTTTGAACATCAAATACATGTTCACTATTAAATGCTAAAATTCTGGAAACAAAGTGATCCCCCGGAAGCATTAATCACAACAAAATT